TTGTGGATGGGACTCAGGATTCCACCTAAGGTCCTGTACTCTGTAAAGGCTTTGCACAAGGCCTATTTCACTGGGCAAGTTGTAGAATCCCTTTGAGGTATTCCAATCAGTTATAGGCTGTCAGTAATTTACTTTTATAGATTAATTCTAATAAGCCTGGGTTTTGGGCATTTGTGTGTGTGAACTTGAAATCTATGTTTATTTGTTTGTTTCTGTTTTTCTGAATCAGAATCCTACCCTTGTGAATCTGGTAGATTCCAAAAGTATGTAAGATGCAAAATTTCTGTCTAGGGGTATGTTTAAACACAAAATAATACATTTTGGATTATAGCTTTTATTTATTTTATTATATGGTTGTCTGTAACTTAAGGTACATATCAAAAGATTCTATAATATTTATACTTCCATATTTTCTTTCAAAAATAGATGACATTATTAAAAAGAAACAAAAAAGATTATATTAACTGTATCCCAAGAGTCCTGGTGTGATGCTGTAGGATAAGCATTGTATACTAACCTCAAGGCTGGTACTTCAAAATCATCAGTCACTCCTTCGAAACCCTTTACAGAGTCAATAGATGTGATGTATTAGATACTAGTGATCAAAGACCAGAAGAATTGTGGGATGTCATCAATTGAAGAGCATCATATAGGAAGAAAGAAAAAGGTCATTAAGAAGACAAAGACCAAATGGAAGTCAGAAGAAACTCTGAAACTTGCTCACCAGCATAGAGATGCTAACATAAATGGAACAAATGAGGAAGTAAATGAGTTGTACAGAAAATTTCAAAGGGAAGCTTGAGAAGACAGAGTCTAGTATTATCATGAAATGTACAAAACCTGGAGTTAGAAAATCAAAAGGGAAGAACTCACTCAGCATTGCTCAAGCTAAAAAAAACTGAAGAAAAAAACCAAGCCTCAACTTGCAATTTTGAAGGATTCTGTGGGCAAAATGTTGAATGAAGAAAGCATCAAAAGAAGATGAAAAGAATACATACAGTCACTGTACCAAAAAGAAATGGATGACGCCCAATCATTTCAAGAGGTAGAATATGATCAAGAGCCAATGACACTGAAGGAAGAAGTACAAATTGCACTGAAGATATTGTCAAAGAAGAAGACTCTGGAAATAGATACAATATGAATTGAAAACTGTCAACAAACTGATGTGGCGCTGGAGGAACCCACTCATCTATGCCAAGAAATCTGGAAGATAACTGGCCAGCTGATTGAAAGAGATCCTAGTTTGTCCCAATTTCAAAGAAAAGCAACCCAACAGAATATGGAAACAATCAGACAGCGTCATTAATATTACATGCGAGTAAAAATTTGCTAAAGATCATCCAAAAATTGTTGCAAGAGCACATTAACAGGAAACTGCTGGCGGTTCAAACCAGATTCAGATAAGGATGTGGAGAGAGAGATGTCATTGCTGGCATCAGATGAATCTTGGCTGAAACCAGAGAATACCAGAAAGATTTCTGTGCTTTATTGAATATGCAAAAGCTTTTGACTATGTGGATCATGACAAACTATGGACAACATTTCAGAGAATGAATATTCCAGAACATTTAATGGTTCCCAATAGGAACGTGTACACAGACCAAGAGGTAGTCATTCAAACAGAACAAGGGAACACTGAATGGTTTAAAATCAGGAATACTGTGTCCCATGGTTGCATTCTTTCACCATATTTTTTCAATCTGTAGGCTGAGCAAATAATTTGAGAAGCTGGGCTATATGAAGAATAACATGGCATCAGGATTGGAGGAAGACTGTCATATACAGATGATACACCCTTGCATGCTGAAAGTAAAAAGGACTTAAAATACTTACTGATGAAGATGAAGAGCACAGCCTTCATTATGGGTTGCTCCTCAATGTAAAGAAAACAAAAATCCTCACAACAATGCCAATAAATAACAGGATGACAAATGGATAGAACATTGAAGTTGCTAAATACTTCATTTTGTTTGGTTCCACTATCAACACTTATGGAAACAGCAGTTAAAAAATCAAACAATGTATTGTATTGTAAAGTGTTGAAGAGCAAAGATGTCAGTTTAAGGACTAAGTAAGGTACGCTTGATCCAAACCATGTTATTTTCAATAGCTTTATATGCATGTGGAAGTTGGACAGTGAATAAGGAAAACCCTCAATGAATTGATGCATTTGAGTTATGGTGTATTAAAAGTACCACGGATTGTTAGAAAAACAAACCAATCTGTGTTGGAAGAAGTATAACCAGAATGCTCCTTAGAAGGCAGGATGGTGAGACCTAGTACTTATACTTAGGGCATGTTATCAGGAGAGGTTAGTTCCTAGAGAAAAACATCATGCTTGTTAAAATGGAAGGACAGTGATAAAACGGAAGACCCCCCAACCAGATAGACTGGCACAGTGGCAGCAGCAATGGGCTCAAACTCAACAACCATTATGAGATGGTGCTGGACCAGCCCGTGTTTCATTCCGCTGTGCATAAGGTCACTATAAATCAGAACCAATTCGATGGCACCCAACGACAACCTGAGCCAGAACTTATTTGATGACACTTAACAACAACTGATGCTTTATTTGACAATTTTTCCTTATTATCAAACAGTACAAATTTGTGAGGTGAATTAGGATTGTGAACTTCTTCCTTAAACTATAATGCTGTTGCTAAGTGTTCTTGAATCATTTCCTACTCATAGGGACCCTGAATAGGGTTTCTAAGGGGCAACTGGTGGGTATGAACCACCAATCTTGTGTTTAGAAGTTCAGTGCTTTAACCTACAGCAGTACACCAGGACTCCTAAACTGCATTAGGTGGCTCTTAAGGATATACACCAGTGACAGTCTCATTGAAAATAAATTTTAATAGTAGAGAGTCCTGGTATGTTGCTGGAGGATAAGCACTGGACTGAAAGGTCTGTTTGAACTGCAAGACCAGGATTCAAACGCACCAGCCGCTCCTCAGAAATCCTATACAGGGTTTCTATGAGTTGGAACCGACTTGACAACACTTAGCAACAACAACATAACCCATTCTATAGTGTGCACATGTACACTATAGAAAATCCCGTGGCTTGGATCAGGCACACCTTAGTCCTTAAACTGACATCTTTGTTCTTCAACACTTTAAAGAGATCTTGTACAGCAGATTTGCCTAATGCAGTACATCATTTGATTTCTTGACTGCTGCTTTCATGAATGTTGATGGTTGATCATATATATGTGAATGTTGGACAGTGAATAAGGAAGACCCTAGAAGAACTGATTCATTTGAGTTTTGGTATTGGAGGAGACTATTAAAATGAAACACCAAAAAACAAACTATCTGTATTGGAAGAAGTACAGCTAGAATGCTACTTGGAAGCCAGGATGGCCAAACTTCCTCTATCATACTTCGGACATATTATCAGGAGGGACCAGTCCCTGGAGAAGGATCTCATGTTTGGTAAAGCACAGAGTTGGAAAATGAGGAAGACGCCCTACGAGATGGATTAGCACAGTGGCACCAGCAAGGGGCCCAGGCTTAACATTGATTATGAGGTTGGCATAAGACAGGGCAGTGTTCGGTTCTGTTGTATATTAGGGTCGCTCTGAGTTGGTGCCAACTCAATGGCACCTAATAATAATAACAACAAAATAGTGTGCACATTGAAAAAGCAAATAAAATGAACTTGTTAATGGAAATATAAGGGTTTAACATTACAGATGTACATGCCAAAATAAGTATAGAAAGTAAAAATATCTATTATAAAAATTTTCAATTGATCAAGCATTTTATTCATGTGGAATAATGAATTGGTAATGAAAAATAAACTGTCTTTAAAGATAAAGGTGAATGAATAAGCAATTTCCTTGAAAGGATATTAAATCCTTGAAAAGATCAGGTGAGAAGGGAACATTTCGTTGCAATATTTGATCTGATAAAAATGAAAAATTTCATTATTCTTTTCTCTCAGGGACTGTTATCTTGTGGAGCCTGGGCTTGCTTTGATGAGTTTAATAGAATTGATTTGGAAGTACTTTCTGTGGTTGCTCAACAAATTCTTACTATCCAAAGAGGTAATGGACTAGTCTGTCTTTGCATTATGTGGAAATAGAAGAAACATGGCGGGTAATGAATGGCATAGTCACATTTCTATGTGGGATTGTCAAGTCCTTTCGTTCTCGATTACCCACAGGTATTAATGCAGGTTCTGACATACTGCTTTTTGAAGGAACTGAACTAAAACTTGACCCAACGTGTGCTGTCTTCATAACAATGAACCCTGGGTATGCTGGCCGGTCAGAGCTGCCAGATAATCTGAAGGTATGGAACGAATAATTATATCATCTATTTCCTTTTCATGATTTAAAAGTTAGCATATGAAACGAAAGAACACACTATCCTTCTTCTTTTTTGTTTTTAAGCATTACAATATTTTGAAAAATAGTTCGTTATAGAAACATATTTAGATCTATGAGTACCTTTACAAAATAAATATGGACACCAGATGCAGTTTCCAAAATTTGTATTTAAAAAATAGTGTTAACTATAAAAAAAAATTTAAATGCAAGTAAATACTTAAAAAGTGCCCATGTTACTGCTTACTATATTGTTGTTATTAAGTGCTGTCAAATCAGTTCTGACCCGTAGCAACTCTGTATAGGGTTTCTGAGGAGCAGCTGGTGAGCTTGAACCACCAACTTTGCAGTTTAAACTGACTTTGCAGTATAGTGTATTTACCCACAGCACCACACCAGGACTCCCCAAAATTTTAAATGCCTCTTTTATAATGTTAAAATCAAACAATTGCATATTCTGGGTTTCTTTTTTTCTCAAATTAATATTGTAACATGAAAATTTCCCATCTTTTAAAACAATCTTAGGCATTTTCAAGTGTTTCTGGAAATATCTAGCAAGCAATTTTGAAGCTTTATCTTAGCCAGAAATAAAAAGGTTGTATTATTGCCACCTAAGTTTTAAAATGGAAGTAATGCACAGAATCATTGTACCAGAATCAATTGGTTGATGTTCAGTCATTTTAGAAGGTGTCATATGATCAATGGACTCTTGGTGAGGTGGTGTAGGATCAGCACTAGACTGCAAACCACAAGATTTACAATTGAAACCCACCAACTTCTCCTTGAAAAGCCTCTAGAGTCTCTATGAGTTGACAGCACTTAACAACAACAAGGATATGTGATCAATAACCAGTGGTATTGAAAGAAGAAGTTCAAGTTGCACTGAAGGCATTGGTAAAACAAAATCAAGGCTCCAGAAATTGACAGAATAGCAACTGAGATGTTTCAACAAACTGAAAGGCACTGGAGGCACTCACTAGTTCATGCAAAGAAATTTGGAAGACAGCTTCCTGACCAACCAACTGGAAGAGATCCATATTTGTTCCATTTCCAAAGAAAGTTGATACCACAGAATGTGGAAGTTATCAAATAATATCATTGGCATCACCAGTAAAATTTTGCTGAATATCATTTCAAAACAGTTGCAGCAGTACATCTACAAGGAACTGCCAGAAATTGAAGCCAGATTCAAAGAGGATGTGGAATAAGATATATCACTGCTGATGTCAGATGGATTTTGGCTGGAAGCAGAGAATACCAGAACAAATTTTGTCTCTGTTTCATTGACTATGCAAAGGCATTTCATTGTGTGGCTCATAACAAATTATGAATAATATTGTGAAAAATGGGAATTCTAAAAAACTTAATTGTGCTCATGTGGAATCTGTACATAGACCAAGAGGTAGTCATTTGAACAGAACAAGGGGGTACTGCATGGTTTAAAATTAAATTAGGAAAGGTGTGCATTGGGGTTGTATCCTTTCACCATATTTATTCATTTGTATGCTAAGCAAATAACTCTCAAGAAGTTGGACTATATGAAGAAGAACACAGCATCAAAACTGGAGGAAGACTCCTTACAATCTGTCATATGCAATGACACATCTTGGTTGCTCTAAGGGGACTTGAAGCTCTTACTGATGAAGAAGACTATAGCCTTCAGTATGAATAACACCTTAACATAAAGAAAACAAAAATCAGCACAACTGGACCAATAAGAAACTACATTAAAAACAGAGAAAAGATAAAAATTTTCACAGATTTCATTTTAGTTGGATCCACAGTCAATGCCCATGGAAGCTGCAGTCAATAAATCAAATGATGCATTATTGCATTGGATAAATCTGTTGCAAAAGACTGCTTTAAAGGCTTAGTTCTCTTTGAGGACTAAGGTGCACCTGATCCAAACCAGGTTAATTTCAATTGACTCATGCATGTGAAAGCTGGACAATGAGTAGGGAACAGGAAGAAGAATGAACGATTAATAAACTATGGTATTGGTGAAGAATATTGAATATTCTTGGACTGCCAGAGGAACAAACAAGTCTTCCTTGGTTGAAATAAGTGCAGGCAGAATGTGCTTTAGAAGCAAGGATGATGGCAAGACTTCCTCTCATGTACTTTGGACAGGCTATTGTGAGGTACCACTCCCTGGAGAAAGACATTGTGCTTGGTAGAGAGCAAAAAAGAGGAAGACCCTGAAAGAGATGCATTGACTTAGTGATTGCATGCAACAGTGGGCTCGAACAGCAGTGACTATGAGGATGGTGTAGGGCTCAGCAGTGTTCTGTTCTGTTGTATATAAGGCCACTATGAGTCAGAATCTGCTCAGTAGCAATGAACAACGATACAGTTTTAAGAGGCAGACTGTACCTTTAAATGAATAGAACTCATGACAGTTGTCCACTGACATATGAGAGCCTACTTTCAAGTTACTGCTACAATAAAAGCCTGCTGGGGTCTAGAGAGTGTTATTGTCAGTCTTCAGAGTTATTCTTGAAGCCTACATCTTCTTCATCTGATGACTTAGTCACCAAAACCCAGGGGTGCTGTTTCACAAAAGTCTTCCAATCCCTGCTGATAAGTCCCACAGCCACAGCTTGGTACAGTCCCTCTTCTTTTCACATATTCCTTGTTGCAATAGGCCATTTATCTACCATTTCTTCCCTACTGAAATGCACTACAATACTTTAAATTCTACAATATACATGTTACTTTCGGGATGTAACCCTTTGACCTGTCAGAGGTTTATAGACAAATTCTTTTCATGCACCATCCACAGATTCTTCAGGGGCACCTCTTCATAATCATTACTGTGTTTGAGCCCACTGTTGTCTCCTCGTCTGTCATTCGTGAGACTCACATAACAGATTCTCTTTCTCCATTTGCCACTCCCTTCTCTCACTTGGACCCCTAGAGATCAATGCTACACAGACTTTTACTTTTAGGGGATGTCTCACTCTGCTCAGTGGTTACCTTGGGCATATTTTTGTCTACATTGGGAATGAAAGCCACATTGATCCTGCCTCTCAGATGACTTTGAACCTCCTTAGACATGAGTGAGATACTAGTAGCCCCTATCCTTCCAAACATGCAGGTACCTACCAAGCTGTCACTGAATTTGAGGGCATGGAAGAGGGATGTATAGATTTACAGCATAAACAACAGCTCCCTTCAAAAATAATCATTTCATAAATTCTTCCTCCTTCATTACTCTATCAAACAGTTTAAGCTGTGCAATTAGATGAGAAGGCTCAGTAATTGGGTATATTTCCTTTGTAAATCCCACATAAATAGTTTGGTAATAGGTATGCATCACATCTTGCAAAAAGAGTCTCATTTTAACACTATGTTGCACCTAGATTAAACCTGTGTAGGAGAGCAGTTATTTAAACACATCTCTGCTTCAGAGACACTATACTTTGCATAGAAACTATTCTTAATAGTCAATAACAAATAATTGTTTCAGAATAACAAAATGTAAGTAGTCATGGAAAAATAGACATATTATAGATCTCGTAATATCAAAAGCCAATAACAGATTACGTACCTATCCAGAAAATATGTCACACGAGACACCCTAGTAGTATTGATTCTGCAGCAACTAGCGACAACAGAATAGAGAGAAAAAAGCAAAGGAGATCCCGAATCTTCCATTTCATTCAGCTAAAACCTAGCTCATTCCTGAGTACTTTACAAAACTTAGGAATCTATATCTAATTTATTTAGAAAGAACTGGTAAGAAGTTTTGACTTGAGTGTTTTTTTAACACCCATTTGCAGTCCTTTGGAAGCATGTTTCAGGAAATACAAATACAGAGTTCCTTATATACCACCATTTTTCTTTCACCAGAGCAGTATAGCAACTATTCTAGATCATTGGTTTCTGCTGAGATAAGCGTGAAGGGTAATGCTGACATTGGATGTGTGCACTGGAATTGATTCAATACCTGGCCTGTCACATGGATGTATAGTCAGTCCCTTGTCTCACATGTGGGGAAGTATGTCATTGATTAAAAGGAATCAATTTAATTTAAAAATTAACTAAATTATTCCAAAATCTCCTGCTATTTATAACAAATTCTTTCTGACATGCTATAAATCAGACCATCAGATTATCATTATGACATATACTCTGTTTGTAAGCCACCAGAACAGCTTAGGTCTAAAAATACTTTTTGATCAAAATGTTCTTATCTATGATAAATAAGAGTCAGAATTAACTCATTGGTGGAAGACTGTTAATAAATGGAAAATCCCGCTAATTGCTTGATACATCTGTGTCTCACTCTGTTTTGGTTTTCCTGCCACTGACAGTTCTGTTTCAAGGAATTCCAAAGCCATGTTGTTAATAGTGCTAAGAGAATCTGAGGAGGAATTTGTGATACTTATCTGCTCCTCAGAAGCCCTATCCAGGGTCACTATGAGTCGGAACAGACTCCACAGCACTTAACAACAACAATGGACTCCTGGTATGGTGCTATAGGACCAGCATTGGACTGTGAACTATAAGGTTGGCAGTCCAAACCCATTAGCTGCTCCTCTGAAATCCTGTACAGGGTGACCATGAGTCGGAACTGAATCAGAAGTGACTCGATGACACTTAACAGCAGCAGCAACAACAATGGTGTTTAGAGGGAACCTACAGCACATAGTCTGCAGATCAGCAGCAACTTGTACTGTTGTAGAAAGACTGTCACCTCGCCCATATTCACTCACTGATAAACTGAATTGTTCATTCATTTATTTGCTCTTTTATTCTTTAAAAAAATAATTGTTGAGAAACTACCCTTAAAGAGGTAACATCTGTATGGTAATTCTCTTGTATTCTTTATTCCTCTAGTATATAGCTGTGAGTTAATATGCTGGACTAAAAAGTTGGTTTGAACTGCAAGGTCGGAGGTTCAAGCTCACCAGCCACTCCTCAAAAACCCTATACAGAGTCACTATGGGTCAGCACCAACTCAGAGGCACTTCACAGCAATATGCAGTGACTAGAAATTTTGCTTAAGTCTCCTCTGCTCCAACTTATTTCCTCATGCTATTTAAAAATAATATTATTTTCTTTCCTTAATGGTAACTCTGTTGATGAAATAGCAGTAAGAAGGTCTTTAGCTACTAACTGACAAAACACATTAAAAGGATCTTACGTGATTCAAATCTTTTCTCTGTTCTCATCTTGGAAGAGTCATAACAAATCAGTTAGGCATGTTGCTCATAATTTCGATCTGCCTTCTGTGTTGGGTAACTCAGCTAATTCCCAGAGGTCTCTATCAACTCTCTGAATATGATTGTCATTCTCTGTAGGGACGTCTCCTTTTTCCTCAAATACTTGTTTTCCTTCATATTTCCAATAAAGTAAAGTCACGTTTTAATACATGAGCCATTGAAGTAAGTCCTGACCCACACTAGTAATTCTAGACCCAAATTTCTAATTCTTTTAAAATCTACTAAATTTTCTATTTTCTTATAAGCACATGAGGTTTATTTTCCCCACAGTATTGAGAATGTCATGAGGAAGCACATTTCTAAGAATGATTGCCCATCACTTAGTCCCGTTTTTCCCCCCTTTACTATGCTTTTACAAGGAGCTCTGGTAGCGTAGTGGTTACGAATTGGGCTGCAAACCTTAAGGTCAGCGGTTCGAAACTACCAGCCGTTCTGCGGGAGAAAGATGAGGTTTTCTACTCCCGTAAAGATTTACACCCTCGGAAACCCTGTACAGGGTCGCTATGGGTCGGAACCGACTCGACGGCACTTAACAACAACAACAACAACAACTATGCTTTTACATGTGGCTTCATAGGATAAGCACTGGACTGTAAACCCCAAGGTTGGCAGTTAGAGTCCACCAGCCACTTAGTGGGAAAAAGGTGAGGCTTTCTACTCCTGCAAAGATTTTTAAGAAGACTCAGATACCCACTACGAGTCAGAACATCAGTCACCATCTTTTAACAAGCATGTTTTTGTTAAGTGCCATGGAACCAGTTTCAACTCATAGAAGCCCGTACAGGGTGTCCTAGGAGTGGTTGGTGGGTTTGAATTGCTGAACTTTTTGGTTCAAAATGTTATAGACTCAAAATGTTAAGAATACCTCCAAATGTGTCATTTATCTAACTTAGCCTTGTCATTAGGAGTTACCTGATTAGCCCAAATGACACAGCTTTTTAGGTACATGGTTGGTTGGTTGGTTATGTGCCGTGGAGTCGGTTCCAACTCATAGCGACCCTGTACAGGGTTTCCGAGGCTGTAAATCTTTACTGGAGCAGAAGGCCTAATTTTTTTCCCGCAGAACAGCTGGTAGTTTCGAACTGCTGACCTTTTAGTTTGCAGCCCGATTCGTAACCACTACGCTACCAGAGCTCCTTAGGAAACCTCTTTTGGAGGTCTGCCTCCTGACACAGGTTCTTTCCCACCAGACCATTCAGAAGCCTGGTGTTTGAACATTCTGGCAGGCCAAGGCTCTTTCCTCTACAACACATTACTTTGAATGAAGAATGTAAAGTAATAGAGCCATAACACTTTGATTAATTAATAACTCACCAATGATCTACATGTGATAAGAATTTGAAGGTATTCTTGAAATACAATTTAAGGAAAATAATTTACGTAAAAATTTAATGATATATTTACAATATAGCAGCAATAGAAAACCAACGTTTCCTTTTATCACTATGTATTTTGAACACTGAAATTTAATGTTTTTGCAGAAAAGGGCCCAAGTATAACGTGTAAAGAAACAGGGAGCAGGGTTATCTTGTGACGGTCTTTTTAAAGGCACCTTTTCTCTGTGACCATAGGCTCTCTTCCGGACAGTGGCCATGATGGTGCCCGACTATGCCATGATCGCTGAGATCGTCCTCTACTCCTGCGGCTTCGTCACGGCTCGGCCACTGTCGGTAAAAATCGTGGCTACATATCGCTTGTGTTCAGAGCAGTTGTCATCTCAGCATCATTATGATTACGGAATGAGAGCCGTGAAGTCCGTGCTTACTGCTGCCGGGAATCTAAAGGTAGAATTCAAGGGTTTCTTAACTTCAATGTCCCTGTGCCTGCACAGAGCTCTAAGTTTCAACAGCTGACTGAAAAGAAAAACTCAATTACTGCACTAAAAAGAAAAGATTGATTATTTTGCACATAACAAAATCAAGGAAACTTGCAAAAACATAGACATATAATTCATAGTGATTTGAACTCTGTTATGCAATTTTAAATAGATATGAAACTATTGTTGTTATTAAGTGCCATCGAGTCATAGACACTCTGGGTTTCCAAGGAGCACCTGGTGATTTGAACCACCAGCCTTGCTTGTCCTACAGCGCCACACCAGGACTCAGGAAATATATGAAAGTTGGATAAGCCCTGCACTGGTAACTGCAAGGTCAGCAATTCAAACCTACCAGCTGCTCCTTGGAAACCCTTTACAAAGTCGCTATGAGTCAGAACTGACTTGATGGCACTTAACTACAAAAGCAACTATAAAAGAAAATCACTTGAGGCTGAGAAACGTGTTGAGGGTTTTCAGTCTACATGCACATTTATAGCTTTGAAAGAAATGATATATGATTTATAAATATACACAGAAGATCCTATCAAGATGCTATCACTTAATATGACTGTTGATTAACAGCAATAGATTTGCAGTATAATGTTTAAATTTTTAAATGGTGTTAATCATAACTATAAGGAGCTCTGGTAGCATAGTGGTTATGAATCGGGCTATGAACCTAAACGTCAGCAGTTCAAAACTACCAGCTGTTCCACCAAAGAAAGATGAGGCTTTCTGCTCCTGTAAAGATTTACCGCCTCGGAAACCCTGTACAGGGTCACTATGAGTCAAAACCAACTCCACGGCATACAACAACAGCAACAATCATAACTATTTGAAAAAAACCATGAACCGATCTATTGCTGTCTAGTCAATTCTGCCTCCTAGCGATCCTGTAGGACAGGGTCAGAACTGACCCTGGAGTCTCAAGGCTGTCATCTGTATTGAAGCAAACTGCTCAATCTTTCTTCCATGGAGTGGCTGATGGGGTTAAGCCACTGACCTTTTGTTTAGCTGATGAGCACCCAAACCACTATGCCACCAAAGCTCCTTAATCATACCTCATATATAAACCCCCAAAACTTTTAGACTTGATTAACTTTTCAACAGAATTACATTACAGAATTATGAAATATAGCTATACATAGAAAAATAAGCTTATAGCTAAGATCAAAATGCACTGAAGTGTGAAGTTGTAAAATGTTCATGTTTGTAATTTGTAAACAACACAATTTAAAATATATCCTACATGATTAAGAACAATGACATGCATTTTTATCTTCTATAATAATGTTTTCAAAATTCTGATATATAGTGATGATATCCTATTTCACATTAGCCTGACATAACTTCAAATCATTACTTTTTGCAGTAAACAAAAGCAACTAGATGAAACTATTTGTATTAACCTGGCCTGTCAGGATTATATTGTGGTCAGATAATGGAAAAGATAATGCATTGTCCTAACGTATGTCATCACTGAAATCTTGTCTATGAAATTGAACCATTAAAGTTTATGCAGCAAATGAATCCCGCAAATGAATCCTATCCTTCTTTGTCAAAAGCTAATTTAGAATTTCTGTATCTTTTGGCCTGTATATTTTGAAGTTTGTTTCTATTACATCAAAAGACAATGGAAACATTTGCTTTAAAATGAGCAGGACTAGCTTTGTACTGGGAACTCTGGAGATTCAGAGACAGTCAAACTTGACTGTCAGACATCACTAGCCTTGTAAGGTTAAGCCTGTGAAGCAGGAGCATGGGATTTATTAGGCAGAAAGATTCTAGAAAATACAGGGAGAAGATTCTGGAAAATTAAATGTATGCTGTCAGGAAACAAAACTTTGGAGTAAGCTGTTGAGTAAAGTATTGAAGTTGAGGGAAATAAGTCTGAGCAGAT